CTAACCCATAAGGGTTAGAAGTCCTTAGAAATATATAACAGAAAATCCTCAACTAAAAAAAGAAAAGAAATCCTCATTTACTTGCAAACTGAATATAGCAATATAGGAAAGAGATTACAGACATGACCAATTGGGCTTTATCCTAGCAGTGCAAATTTGTTCAACATATGAAGATAAGTTAGTAGGGGTACACCATGTTAAGGGGGAAATACCCCATGTGATCACCTCAATAGATGCAGAAAAAGCACTTGATGAACTTCAATCCTATCTATATGTGATAAAACACTCAACAAATCTAGTACTAGAAGAGCATCTGTGAAAAGCCGACAAGAACTGGAGTACAGGCCAGAGGTGCAGGGAGAAGAGGAGAGTGAGAGGATTCACTGCAGTGGGGAGCAGAACAGTCAGACTGACTGAAATACACTGCTGAGGGGAGCCCCTGACAATCCAGGAGAGGGGCCATACCGTGTGAGTCACCTCCCTGGTTCCTGATTGAACTGGTTATGGATGCTGTGCTTTAACCTGTTGCACTACCAGGTAGGGTCAAAAGACAAAGTATTTTTGATACTTTTTGCAACCTTACTTGAACTCTAAAAACATTATGCTGCAGTGGCTGCTGATAAATTCATAGTGCTCAGCTTTAACCTCTTGCCCTACAAGCCAGTCACAAAAGGCCACATGTTCATGATTCCAGTTAAACTGTCCAGAACATTGAAATTTGTAGAGACAAAGTAGATATATAGTTGCCAGGGGCAAGGGGTAGAAGGAAATGGGGAAATGACTGCTGATGGGTACAGGGTTTCTTTTGGAGGTATGAAAATATTCTGAAATTAGACACCAGCAACTGTGTAACTCTGAATATACTGAAGACCATTATATTTTATGTCCTAAAGGGGTGAATTTCATGGTATGGAAATTATATCAATTAAAAGATGATTTTTTAAAAAAAATCACTTAAAATATATTGATTGAAGTATAATAAAATATTTAAATAAGACTTGAGTGTGTTTTATTAAAAAGCATTGTAGAAAATTGGCTGAATTCTTTTTTTTTTTTTTTAAAGATTTATTTATTCATACAGAACTGGGGTACAGGCCAGAGGCTCAGGGGTGGTGAGAGGCTGTTCCCCACAGAGTGGGGAACAGAACAGGCAGATCGACGAAGTACACAGCTGAGGGGAGCAGCGGGCGGGTCAGGAGAGGTCTGCCACGCCATGTGGTCTCCTCCGGGGCAGGCGGGGATCGAACTCATGTGGAAGCAGCTTTAGATTCTCAGTGCTGTGCTTTAACCCACGCTACCAGGGAGGGCCTGGCTGAATTCTTAAATTCTTAAATTCTTGTTATTTTCTAACAATTGTCTTATAAATTATTTTTCTACAGTAAATAAAGCATAAATATTTTGGGTTTTCTGTACTGGTCGTTTTTTATAATGTTCAATTACAGTTTTTTGGCCCCATATTGATTTCATTAAGATAGTATTTAAGTAGCATTTTATTTTAGGGGGAATCATGTTAATTTGTTAATGGGTTAAGGAATGTATTTTAATTTTTGACTGTAAGAGAGAGGATAATTAAGTTATATAATGCTAGATTAGTGACAGTTTAGCAGGTAGGGTAAAATAAAGTGATTCTTAGCATACCTGAATAAAGTATTGATAACTACTGTAGATTTGTGTATCAATATGCCTCTTTTTTTTTTTTGTAAAGATTTATTTATTTGTGCATACAGAACTGGGGTACAGGCCAGAGGCTCAGGGGCGGTGAGAGGCTTCACCAGAGAGAGTGGGGAACAGAACAGGCACGAAATACACTGCTGAGGGGAGCAGCGGGCGGGTCAGGAGAAGTCTGCCACACCATGTGGTCACCTCCGGGGCAGGCGGGGATCGAACTCATGCTGAAGCGGCTTTAGATTCTCAGTGCTGTGCTTTAACCTGCTGTGCCACCAGGGAGGGCCTCAATATGCCTCTTTTTAAAGGTAGTTCCCAACTGCCAGATCTCTGCTATATAAAAATTTTTAGTAGAGGGAAGGAAATAAGGTAATTCACTATTTAAAAAATTACAAGTCTTACTACTGAAAGTAAATGAACTCTTGATTTTTTCAGGTTATTATACCTTTGAAGATTAATTTTGAATAACTTTTTGGAGGTTCCCAGAAAAAAAAAACTTAATTGTCAAATGTATTAATAATAATGCATTAATGTGAAGAAATAGTCTCAGAATTCAGGGTTTATGACAGTATAATTAGTTTTTCTTGCTTACAGTCACTGTGGATTAAGTGATTTAGATTAGGCTTGACAAGGCAACCCCCTTTTAAATGTGGGTGTGGAAGCCTTTACTTCTCACTGTAATTTGAGTTTGACAGTTTTATCTGGAGCCTAGTGACCATTTAGTGCTGTTTTTGTGTTCTCATGTATTTTAAGTAGAATATTTTGATTAAGCTGTGGTTTTTTTTTTATAAAAGATTAGTCCCCAGCATAAAGAAGTATTAGAAACATTATTTATTAGAAGCATCATCAATCAACTTAAAAGAGAAAATTGCTATGTGATTTCCCTTTCAGTAAGGTAAATACCTTTATTTTTATAACTTAGCACCTTCTGGTGCTTATTTATTATACCAGAAATATTTTATATTTTCAGAAAAATGTAACATGTAACCTTGTTTTAAAACGTCTGTAATAAAACACTTAAGTAGATTTAGTGAAATGCTTTTTCCACACTTTGACACTTCTGTTTCTGAGAAGTCTTGTGTATCCTCCTACACCTGTAGTGTGCATCAACAGTTATATTTTAATACATGATGGCCTCCTTTCTACTTTTATAACTAAAAAGAAGCTTGCTATGCATCCTGTTCTGTTTCTTTTCCTTTTTTTTTGGTAACAGTTACTTGATTGTAGGCCCGCATGAGTTATAGCTGTTTTTTCACAACTTTAAGTATAGTTTTTTAAAAATATTTTTTTATTTATGCATCTAGAACTGCGATACAAGCCAGAGTGCAGGAGCAGTGAGAGAATTCACCAGAGACACAGTGGGGAGCACAACAGGCAGACTGAGGAACTACACTGCTGAGGGGAGCATCAGGCGAGACAGGAGAGGTCTGCTGTGCCATGTGGGTCACCTCCCTGGCTGGGGATCAAACTCATGCTGCAGTGGCTGCTGATTGCAACTTTATGTATAGTTTAAGTACAATGAATTCTCTTAAAATGTACTATTCTGACATATTTACACACTCTTGTAACTACTACCACAGTAAAGATGCAGAATAATTTCTATCACCTCAAAGTTTCTCCTTTTGCCCCCATCCCACAATGACCATTTAGTTTTCTGTTACTATAGATTAGTTTGCCTTTTCTAGACTTCAATAAAAAGTAGAATCACATAATATGTACTTGGTGTTTAGCTTTTATTACTGAACATAATGATTGTGAGATTCACCAGTATCATTCCAGTAGTTTGTTCTTTTTGACTGCTGAGTAGTTTTCTGTTAGAGTTCTCACTTAATATTGTTGATAGCTTCTTAGAAACTGACATTAAACAAAAATAACTATTGCTTGAAAGCATATTCTTGAATAATCAGTCATTTCATTCAACATTGGCTATGACTTTTTCATGTTAATGAATGCTGTTGAATGTTGAAACAGTGATATTGAGGAATTTCTGGGTATTTCTACAATGTGTTGTTTTATTTATTCATTCACCAAACTTATAGGTTGCCATATCAATATTTTTGTTAGGGGCGGTCTATCTTTTAATGCTTCTAATTGACTTTAGATTTTCCTTTTGGTTTTCAGGAGTTCAGTATTGCATTCTGACTTTTTCATATTTGTCCTATGAGCAAATTAGCTTATAGTTTTTATCTCTGCATAGTTTGTTTCTTCTACACTGCTTGTTTTCTGTTTATTTTGTTTTATGGTTTTCCTTATATATGTGGTGACTCTTTCTTACATGCTCATGGTTAAAGTGAGATACTAAAAATTGATCGGAAACTGCAGGTGGATTGATGATAGGAAGGCTACAGATTGTAGTATGTGAGTATGTGTATCCCTGCTTAATATGGGCCATTGTTAGTATTTCTTAGATCTTCTCTTTAGATTTCTCAAATTCATTAGAAAACGGTCTTTTCATTTGTCCCTCAAAGGCCAAAGGCTTGGCTGCTATCTTGTAGTTTGTGAATAGTCAGATGTTTTGGGGGGAAGAATGGGTTTCAGCAATAACTGTGTGTACTGCTACTTATCCCTCTATTGTCAGAATGATTTTTCTACTCTCAGCTGTGCCTGTTGCATATCCAGACCTTTTCTTTTTCACTTCTTTCAGAAATTTTTATCATCAGTCTTTGGTTGTTGATTCAGGGTCAGTCTTCTGGGTACTAATAATTGGAATGGCTCCCTGGGAGTTTATCTGCTTTTTTGAATTTCATTTTAATCTCCTATGGAACTTGGTACTGCCTTCTTAGTGGGGGTGGGAGCATATAGATATGGTGTAAATAGAACTGCTCCTCAGTTTTCTCCATTTTAGGTTTAGGATTCAGGTTTTCTTGAGCCTGGGGTTATTTGTCTATTTTTGATATCTTCACACTTTTAATTTTTATCATCTTCTATCCTTTACTTTGGGTTCATGGTTTTGCTTTAACCTGTTGCTTTTTTAGTGGATTTTACATGAGAGTGGAAGGCAAATCTATGTTTAAATTTGCCTTTTTAACTGCATGAATGCTTTTCTATGTGTATATAACATTTTTCTTAATGATAGGATTTTTTTCTTTACCAATTTAACTTTGTGTGTATGCATTTTAAACTTCTCTTCAACAAAATTAAATGTGTTTTTCTATTGGGTACATTTACCATAAATTAGGTTAGAAATACTAAAATTAAGTACTTGGTATTAAAGTGAGCTCTGAAGGCTTAATGTTAGGACAGAATAATATTAAGAAATGATACATTTGATGAGAAGTAAATGAACACATCTTTCCTTTGCCTCTTTTAAACATTTTGATTTTTTTTTCTTTTAGGTGCTGTGTAATGCGTTAAGAAAATACTATAAGGAATGATTTTGTCAAGTTTTCATGAGTTATGGTGGCTGAAAGACCAATTCTGTATTGTGGGGAAAGGACTGTAAGTAAACCTTAAGGAGTAAAGTTATTTTTAACTATTCAATTCTTATGTTAGACAAGTTTTTGATTATTTATAAAAATGTACTTGAGATACTTTGTTCTATTATCCTTAACTAGATAGGCTAAATAATACCAAAGGAGAAATTAGGTTTTTTTTATATATAAAACAGGTTTGTTTATAATGTAGCATTGTCATTTTTTGATGTATAAAACTCAATTTTTTTTAATTTTTCAGAAAAGCCACCACAAAAGGAAATCTTTATTAATTGAGTATTTTATTAAACGAAAAAGGTTAGATAAGAATTTCAAACCAACAGACTCAGCAAGCAAGGAACTAAACGTATTAGCCATAAGACATGCTTCAAATGAATCAAAGTCTAATAACTGTAGACTTCAGAAGAAAAAAGTTTTCCAAGACATCAAAACAGACTGGTCAGTGATACATAACTCCTCCAGTAATAGGGCTAGACCTGAAAACTTTTCAATAATAATTGAAAAAGTAACAGTTTGAACCTAAATTAAGATTTTTCATCAAAAAATGTTCACAATTTCAATTTAGAATTAAATTTTCTTCAACTTCTTATTGCCTGTCCAAGGTAAAACAAATATCTCTTATCCTTCATGCCAGCTTTCCTTGTGTCCTAGGGATGACTAAAACCTTACTTGAAGCAAACTAGTACTTTTGTTGAAAATGTATATCAACATCAGTTAAACCAGGTCTTTAAAGCCTCCTCAATAGTAATAGTAGATATTCAACATTCATACCTACCAGTACACAAAAATCCTCTCAAAAACTACTTAGAAAAGGAGGACCTTACTCAGGAATGATGTCCATTCAAGAGAAATTAAAAGAAAATTCCTCCAATGTTATTAAAAAAAGTGAAGATAAGAATTTAGGAACACAAATTCAAGGTTCTCTAAAGAATCCAGCAAAAAAATCAGGTCCAAAAGAAACTACAAAATCATTGGTGAAATCGTCCAGTGAAAGTAAAATAAATCAGCCTGAATTGGGAACATACATGAGTACAAGATCAGCAAAGGCAGTGTCCAATGATAAAAAAGCCAGCAAATCCATTAGTAAAAATATGGTAATTCTGAAGGGACAGTCACAGCAAGAATCTACAAAAAAGAAGAAATTATGTCAGAAAAATTCAGTCCATGAAATCCCCAAATCAAATGAACAACTTAATCGGAGATCACAAAGATTACAGCAGTTAACAGAGGTTTCAACAAGGACTCTGCGCAGTAGAGAAATTCAGGGTCTAGTTCAAGTAGTTAAACAGAATTTGCCACCAACAAGGAAGGAGCGCTCTAGTAACACTCAAAATAAATCTAATAAAGTTAAAACAAGTCAGAAACATGTGAAAAGAAAAGTACTGGAAATAAAATCTGACTCTAAAGGGGATGAAAATCCAGTAGTAAATGAAGTAACAAATTCACCAAAAGGAAAAAAACGCAAAGTAGAACAACAGATAGCTTATACTTGTAGTTCTCAATGCATAAAAGGATCTGAGAAGTGTCTTCAGAAGAATGTTAGAAAAGAAGAAACAAGAACTGTGCCTGTAACCTCATCTGAGATAAGAAGATCCAAAATGACTACTTCAGTGGTCTCTAAAAAGAATGAGATAAAGAAGTCAGTTCATACACAAGTGAATAGTAGTGTAAAATCCCAAAAAAGTCCGAAGCCATCAGTGCCTGAACAAAGTGTAGATGATGAGCTGGAGCAAACAGGAAAGAGCAAACGAGGTAGCATTCTCCAGCTCTGTGAAGAAATTGCTGGCGAAATTGAGTCGGATACTGTAGAGGTAAAAAAGGAATCTTCACAAATGGAGAATGTAAAGGAGGAGAAACTTACAGAAGTTAAGTTGGAAAAGACTGAGGTTGAAAAACAAATAATTCAGAAGGAAACAACTCAGGATGTCCAGTGTAATCGTTTCTTCCCCAGTAGAAAAACAAAGCCTGTGAAATGTATACTAAATGGAATAAACAGCTCTGCTAAAAAGAACTCCAATTGGACTAAAATTAAACTCTCAAAATTTAACTCTGTGCAGCAGAATAAGTTGGACTCTCAAGCTTCCCCGAAATTGGGCTTATTACAAACCAGTTTTTCATTACCAGCTTTAGAAATGCATCATCATCAAAGCTCACTTTTAGATATCAAGTCACCTGATGATAAAGGCATAGCTTGCCAGAAGAAAGAAATGAAAGAAGTTAATTCTGAAGTTAGAATTAATAACATTAAGGTTGAATTTAGAAAAAACACAAAAGTGGCTTCTGAAAACTGTCAAGTGGATAATCAGACAAAACCTTCCATCCCACCTTTGGGTAACCAGATGAAACATTCATTGGAGTTGACATCAGATAAGGTAATCCATTTTCAGTAGAGTTATTTGAGTATTGTATACTAAGAAATAGTATGTATAATATTTTAGCTTAGGAATTAAGTCATCAGAGTCATTTGTTAAGGTATACTATTAAATCATAAGCAAGAATATTAACCCAGTCTTTGTTGTAATGGAACTTATTCCTTTAGCTGTCTCACATTACATGAGTGATTGTCATTGTTTCCTTATTCATCTTTTTATTTTATGTGAGAATAAACCTGTGAAGCCTAACATTTTTTTACACTGATTTGTTTCCTTTTTCTATTAATTATAGCCACCAAAATGATGTTTCATAGTGACTAAAATGTAGAACTTGGCTCAATTTTGACATATTAAAATTAATTTTAGCTGGGTGACTAACCCTCCCTCCCTTTTGCCCCTTCCACTCTCCACTCCCATACTTGGTAAAATTGAAAAGTTAAGCATTTTGGTTGGTAGGGTGCCTTCTAGTTTCAGTTGTGTGGCCATTTTGAGTAGTGGACAAAATGTCTGAAAGCTGTAAATTATGTCTTCAATTTAAGAATAAAATTGTGGCCAAGGCTTTTTAAAATGGAAAAATAAATTGAAAAACAACATCTAATAGCTAAAAGAAACTTTATTATCTGAGGAAGTAGTTGTAAAACTTCATGTAAAAACAACTGAACAAGCTATTTCTCTTTAAATGAATCATAAGTAAAACTCCATTTAAGCGAGAAAGAATTATGTATAGACCAGTGTCTATTGTCTACTAAAAAATCAAAATGAAATTTAAAGGAAACTGTCACCATATGATATGCTCAGATTTTGTTTTTTATGCAAATAGGGATGAAAGCATCAATTAGAAGACAATTATTGAAATAGTCATAGTAATTAGAATAAGTGGTGGTATGAGTAATAAGGATGCTTGCTTATTGTGGTAGCATTCTATTCAGGGAGTGTTTTTGTCAGCAAATTGATAGATATGCTGCAAGTGTTGCTAGAGAGAGTGTCTTCTTAGTCTTTGTTGTATATAAGTATCAGTGAGAACTGTGAAGGCAGATTGAGGTTTAATACGTGGAAAAATATATTGAAGAATAAGAGATATAATCCATAACTTTGGACTAAACTGTTACTTAACTAGAGGTGCTTGCTTAGATTACATTGTTTGACCTATAAAACTGCTTTTTCTGAAATGTTCTTTGGATTTATGCCATTCTTCTCTTTTAAAGAACATTATAAGAAATGCCTTTATTTACATTTAAAAATTGTTGAATATTTCAAACACTCATTGCAGATAACTATTATTACACTCATCTGTCTACCACCCCACATTTGAGAAAAAAAAAATAACACTTTATTGAAGTCAGGTTTTTTAAAATAAGAAAAATACACTACCGATTTAAAAAAAAAACACATCTTTTCATTTCTCTCAACTTTTTTTGCCAGAGTAAATATGCTCCTAAAATGGGTTTTTTCTGTATCTCTTTCTGTTTCTATCACTCTTTGTGTCTGTACACACAGAAAGCACATACATACACACCTATAAAGAATACTTAGTAGTGTTTGTATTGTATTTACAGAAATATTAATATAGGTTGTCTATGTGTCATTTTTTTCCCATTGGTTTTCTGCAGTTCTACGTGTTTGATAGTGACACAGATATTTTAAAAGTTGTAAAGAAAGAGAATGTATTCAATTTATGTTTTTATCTGTTAAAGCACTTATAGCTTGTTCCTAATTTTATCACCAATATTAACAGTATGATCATTGTCACAGAGCTGTTAGGAAATGTGTTGATGACTTTAATTCAAGACATTATTGAGAGCCTATTGACATTAAAGACAGTGTGTTATGACTACAGGAGACCTTTTAAGAAATTTACATTGTAGTAGTCATGGAGATTTTTCCTAACCACATTAAAAAAATATATAATGAGGTAGCATAGTTAGGAATCATCATAATTTTTATTTGATGAACACTAACTGTCAGGAAAGAAGTGCTTCATGTAATTCTTACCATAGTTCACACTGACTTCTATTCCATTTTTTTTAAGATTTATTTTTACTTATTTATGCATATAAGAACTAGGGTATAGGCCAGAGGTACAGGTGATGAGAGGATTTACTAGAGACAAAATAGGAAGAGAACAGGCGGATCTACTGAAATACACTGTGAGGGGAGCAGTGGGTGAGACAGTAGAGGTCTGCTATGCCATATAGATAGGTTAGCTCCCAGGCAGGGGACCAAACTCATGCCTTAATGGCTGTTGATAGCTTGTTAGTGCTGAGATTTTAACCCCTCTTAACACCAGGGAGGCCCTTGATTTCTATGCCCCCCCCCTTTTTTTAAAGATTTATTTATTTATGTATACAGAATGGGGGTACAGGCGAGAGGTGCAGGAGCACTGAGAGGATTCATCAAAGATAGAGTAGGGAGCAGAACAGGCAGATTGATGAAGTACACTGCTGAGGGGAGCAGTGGGTGAGACTGGAGAAGTCTGCTGCACTATGTGGGGTCACCTCAGGCATTGGGGATCAAACTTGGACTGAGGTGCAGCGGCTAGCTTGCAGTGCTGCGCTTTAACCCATTGTGCCACCAGGGAGGGCCTGATTTCTGTTCTTATCCACAATTTATAAATGAGGAAAAGAGGCTTAAGTAATTTACCAAGGTGATATTATTAAGTTATGGAGCCTGGATTTAAAGCTAGATTGACTGGCTTCAGAATTTCACCAAAGTTATATTTTGGGAGGTAGGAGACTTGAAAAGTATTATTGTAGACCTTACATCACTGAAAAACGTATTCTGTGACTGCCTGTAATTTTATTGTTTAAATTATATAGTGTCGATTTTAGCAGTACTAAGAAATAGTTGTGATTGATAAGGCTAACCTTTTAGTAGACTTTCTGTTAATTCATCAACAGAATTTAAATTATTCTGACCTTTATTTTAATGACTTAAACTAGTAACTTACTTTCTATTAATAGAGGTTAATTAGTAATATAGCATTCTTTTTGGTATTTATAATTTTTCTGGTTTTCTAGTGAATATAAAGGTTTATTTGAAGAAAAATACAATGTTTGAAAATAATATTACATGTTTATGGTAGCAGACACAATGCAGGTACACACACACACAAATTTAATTGTTGGCTTTCTTGTTTCCATTTCTCTAAGTTAGCCATGATATTAGAGTTTGGGGTGTTTTCTTTTGGTAATTATTGAATATTTGCTTTGATGAGGTTCTTTATTTAGAAACTGTTGGACATACAAGATTAAATATAGTGTCATTTTTGCTCTTAAGAGTTGCAGAAAATCAGTCAAAAATAATTCAAAATAGGATGTGATAGTCAAGAAAATAGGTCATGAGAGAGGTAGAGATGAAGTACATGGAGAATTCCAGAGTGCTTCAGAGAAGGGCATGAGGAAGGCTTCCTAGAAGTGGTTAATGACAACTTGAGTTTATATAATATAAGGTGTTCTAGATCTGTACTATGCAGTAGGAATATATTATGAGGTACACATGTCATTTAAAACTTTCTGATAGCCACATTAAAGCAAAAAAAAAAAAAATGGCAAAGAACTTGGTAAAATCAGTGTCTTACCCCTGCCATGTATCATTTCAGCATGTGTCAATTTTTTTTTTTAAAGATTTATTTATTTGTACATACAGAACTGGGGTACAGGCCAGAGGCTCAGAGTCAGTGAGAGGCTTCACCAGAGACAGAGTGGGGAGCCGAACAGGCAGTTCTATGAAGTACACTGCTGAGGGGAGCAGTGGGCTGGTCAGGAGAGGTCTGCCACGCCATGTGGTCACCTCCGGGGCAGGCGGGAATCGAACTCATGCGGAAGTGGCTTTAGCTTCTCAGTGCAGTGCTTTAACCCGCTGCACCACCAGGGAGGGCCATGTGTCAATTTTTAAAATTCAGATATTTTATTTTTGTGTGTGTATGTTTCTAAGTCCTAAAAATTACCACAATTGAACACATCACAAACCAGTCTCCCTAACTTTATATGTTAAGTGCTCAGTAAATGGCTACTCTGTTGGACTGTGCAAATTTGATAGGTGGAGCTAGAGAAATTAGATAGCCAGCCAGGCATGGAGGGAGAAATCAAGGGAGCTGATCTTGAGTGGGTGACTTGGGCGACATCATGAAGAGACTTTTAAGGCATATCTTTGTAAATTACTTCAAATATAAAGTATTATCTTAAGTTTTCACTAAAATTCACTGAAAATGTCTTGAGATAAAAACCCAAAGATAGTTAAAAAAACAAAACTAACATTTTTCATTATATGTGTTTAGAATGTCAGCCTGTGTTTGCAATCCAAGATTGAAAACAATCCAGTGGAAAATACTGTTTCAACATTTGTCAGTCAAGCAAAACTTGATACAGGGGAGAGTAAATTTGCAGGTAACACTTTGAAAATACTTGGATTTCAGTGTCCAGAGAAACTGTTGTCAGTGTAACAGGAAACTGTATTAACTACCAAAATAGGCCATGTTTTATCCATTGCCTTAGTTTTTCAAATGGGTGATTATCAGGATCATCATTGTTTGGGGGGAGAATTGCCTCTATTGATTTGCTTAAAGTACCTAAGTATGATTCTTCAACTCCCTACCACATACGTCTTTGTTTTTAATCTTTAATTTTATTTCTGATTTACTCTCTAGAAAAAAAAATGTTATGTAGTGTAAGTATAAATGTCTGCTTTATTATTTCAGTCTCTTATCTGTAAACCTTAGTTACTTAATTTTCCATCTTAGTGATTCCGTCTTTTAATTAAGGGCTTAATAAATGCTGCAGTTTGTCTACTTATACCATACAAAAATTTAGTTTTGTAACCTAGTGAAGAATATTTGGTATATGTGGAACAAAATATTGAGGTCTGATTCTTGCTTCCATTGCATGTATTAACTTTTCCTCTTAATCAGGCATTGGTACAGTCTGATATAGAGAAATGTACTTGTTCATTATGAAATAAAATGCATCGATTATTAATGTGATTGAAACTCTAGGGACTATACATTGTTTTTAAACCAAGAAATGTTTTCCTTTTGAGATTACATTAGTATACAGACGTTTAAACAATTAGCATTTTTGTTCAGGGCTGCTAAGTATTGATGAGACTAGAGGCTACCACTAGATCTCTATTAGATCTCTTTCTGCCTTGTCTCTGAAGTGGAATTTCTAGGAAGAGGGCTCTAATATTGCTAAATGGTGTTTATTTAAAATAAAACAATGCATTGGATTTTTTTCTCCTTCCTGTGTAATGATCATTGCTTGAAGCTCTAGTACAAAGCTTAATATGTAACTCACCTTCTTGATTAAATTACAGGTTCAGCACCCAAACAGCAATGCAGTGATAACAAAACATCTAAGTCCAGTGATAACAGGTAAAGTATTAATAAAAGTAGAAGTATGAAATCTAAGTGATTTTATACCTTTTAAGTTTTGTATTAAAATCTTTGTAGACATATGTCTTTGTTCACTTGCTATTTACTCTATTATGTAACCTATATTGTTAAGTTTCTGTACAAAGAGGTTGTCTTCTATATGCTTCTAGCAAGTGTTTAATAATGCTGGTTTCCTCACACTCATGAAAAACACCAAGTATTATCAACATGTAAAAGTAGTTTAAATAGATTAAAAACTTCGTTTTGTTTTTAACATGAGAATGAAATAATTTTGTCTCATTTTGCCTTACAGATTACTAAAAACAATATTTAAGATAAACTCTAGATGGCTATAGAGGACTATATTATAAAAATTATAAAACTTAAAACTTATTCAAACCATAAGGCACTGTTACAGTTTTTTATTTTTTAAAGATTTATTTATTTGTGCGTACAGAACTGGGGTACAGGCCAGAGGCTCAGGGATGGTGAGAGGCTTCACCAGAGACAGAGTGGGGAGCCGAACAGGCAGATCTATGAAGGGAGCAGCGGGCGGGTCAGGAGAGGGGAGCAGCGGGCGGGTCAGGAGAGGTCTGCCACACCATGTGGTCACCTCCGGGGCAGGCAGGATAGAATTCATGTGGAAGTGACTTCAGCTTCTCAGTGCAGTGCTTTAACCCACTGCGCCACCAGGGAGGGCCCCCTGTTACAGTTTTTTATTTATTGGTTGAAAATTCATGTTTTCCTGGGTCCCCTCCCTCTTTATTTTTTAAAATGTTCTTTTTTTCCACTTTGCAGTTGAAATTTGTCAGTATTTTATAGACAAATATATAAATCAGGTTTTTTTTTTTTCCTTCAAGAAGGGTCTATAACATTTATTAATGTTCTATTTCGTTTTTTTCTTTAAAGAGAGACCTCAGATTATTGGCCTAAGTGTAATTCTCATTTGGAGATAACAATTCCAAAGGACTTGAAACTAAAAGAAACAGAGAAAGTTGATGAAAAACAGTTGATCATAGTAAGTATAAAACTTGACCTTGGCAAAATGTTTAATGTATCTTATTTGTGCAAAGACCTTTTTTGACGCCATAAATTTTCAATATAAAAATATTCCTGGTATCATTGCAGTTTCTACTCCTTTAGCCCCTACACCGACTGCCCTGGTTGAGTATATACTATAGCAAATAATAAAAATTCAAGTTTATATATTTCTAATTTTATTTACAACAGGTCAGTACTTTATGTCTCAGTTGTTACTTTCTTAAATATGTTTGATCATTTCTTTCATTTGCTAATTTAATTATTAACATAACAGGGCATACTAGAGTTTAAGTATCTATGGAGCTTATTTTGTGTATCTGTTTATAGTATGTGTTACAATTTTTTTTTTTAAAGATTTTTTTATTTGTGCATACAGAACTGGGGTACAGGCCAGAGGCTCGGGGGCCGCTAGAGGCTTCACCAGAGACAGAGTGGGGAGCAGAACAGGCAGATAGAGGAAGTACACTGCTGAGGGGAGCAGTGGGCGGGTCAGGAGAGTCTGCCACACCATGTGGTCACCTCCGGGGCAGGCGGGAATCGAACTCATGCGGAAGTGGCTTTAGCTTCTCAATGCTGTGCTTTAACCCGCTGCGCTACCAGGGAGGGCCCGTATGTGTTACAATTTTAAAAAATATTTATGCTTTTTTTTTTTTTTTTGCTTAGAAGAACTAGGATATTGTCAGAGGGTATGGGTGGTGAGAGGACTCACCAGAGACATAGTGGAGAGTGATACAGGTGGATTTACTGAAATACACTGTGAGGGGGAGCAGAAGGCGAGACATGTGGGTTGACTCCCTGGCTGAGGTTTGAACTCAGGCTGTATTGATGAGAGTGTTGAGATTTAACCTGGAGGCGACCAGTGATGCCCTTCAACATACATTTTACAGGAAGATAAACCAGTAGTTAATTTGAAAGAGAACATAGTAAGTACAGTTTGGTGACAAAGTTGAAAAGAGACTGAACTGTTTTGTTTATAAATTTATTGGATAAAGCAAGCATAATACTGAAAAATGGAGGTACTCAAAATAAGAATATTTAGTGTAGTTTCACCCAACATAATTAATAGACTTTTTGGGACTGAATGATTGGAGAATAATTTTACAATAATTTGTAGAAATTTTTGAGAAAAAGAGCTGTTTAATTACATTTAGTAATGTTTTTGTTGTTAAATAAGTATTTCAGTGAAATAGGATTAGGCAATTAGAATCTAAAGATGAATTGTCCAATTTGAGCCATTTGAGCTGTTGAGCTCAAAGAAGACTTGTAGACTAGACATGCTCCAAGTATAAACATTGCTACATTCCAGAGACTAGTACAAAAGGAAGGTGACGTCACTAAGTTTTATTTTAATTCTAATACATGTTGAAATTACAATATATGGGATATATTTTGTTAAATACTATAATTATAACCTCTTAAAATGTATTTCACCTGCTGCTTTTGTTCTTTGGCATGGCTATTAGAAAATTTAATATTTATGCATTACTTTTCTGTTTATAGTGTTGGCCAAGAATTGATGATGACATTGATCATGAGAGCAACTATATTTTTTATTGCTTGTTTAGGGAGAGACAGTTCTTTTTTACTTTTTAAGATTTATTTATTTATGTGTATGAGAACTGGAGTGTAAGCTAGAGGTATGAGAGGATTTACCAGAGAGCACTGGGAGCAGAACAGGCAGACCACTGAAATAACAGTGCTGAGGGGAGCAGCAGGAGAGACAGGAGAGGTCTGCTCCACCATTTTGGTCTACTCACAGGCCAGCTGGGGATCAAACACGCTGGGCTACTGTGGCTGATGATCATTTGATAGCACTGTGTCTTTAACCCCTGCATCACCAGGGGGACCCAGAAACAGTTCTGTTTATTAATCCCAGGGTTTCAGAAAGGATTAAGAAACATTTTCTGGGACACAAAACTATATCAGAAGTGTTACTTCACACACCACTATTCTAGGGTTTACACAAAGACACACATATTAATGTATGTTAGCTTAAATTAATATACAATTCAAATGTTTTTGCATCAGCTTTCTAGCAAGACTCTAGTCATCAATGTGTACAAGTTCTTTAACCCTTTGAAAATAGCACTAAAAAAGTATGAAATATTGTACATGTAGAATTAAGGCTGGTGCTGTAAAATCTAGAATTAATCAAGCCAAACAAAAAACTGATAGTTGCATGTGGTGTGTGTGTGTGGGGATAAATCAGAAATTTAAAGTGCTACTGCTGTTACAACTTTAATCATTTAATGTGTATCTTAACATCTGAATTTTCAGAGCAATACTTTTTGAATGTGCTACTCCATGTGCTCTACAATTATTTCCTGTTTACCAGTGAGGAAACAGGCAGAAATGTGTATTCATTACTATGAAAATTGCCTGCTTGAAGAGATATTTGTGCAATGATATTTGTAATTCATAATAGCCAAAAGATGGCCCATATCAATAGATGAATAAATAAACAAATGTGGTCTCTATAAATGCATTGGGATATTATTCATCCTTAAAAGGGTTAGAAATTGGGCCCTCCCTGGTTCAGTGGGTTAAAGCACAGCACTGGGAAGCTAAAGCCACTTCTGCATGAGTTTGATCCCGCCTGCCTGGGAGGTGAGCACATGGCTCAGCAGACCTCTCCTGACTGGCCCACTGCATCCCTCAGCAGTGTACTTCATTGAGCTGCCTGTTCTGCGCTCTACTCTTTCTCTGGTGAATCCTCTCGCCGCCCCTGCACCTCTGGCTTGTACCCCAGTTCTGTATGCACAAATAAATAAATCTTAAAAAAAAAGTTAGAAATTATGACACATGCTATAGCATGGATAAACCTTGAGGTCATTATACTATGTGAAATAAGCAGGTCACAGAAAAGACAGATACTGTATAGTTACAGTATACAGTTACATAGTAAAGTTAGTTTCTTAGAGAAAGGAAATTGGTTAAAGCAGTATGACAGTGAAATAAGATTAGACAGAATCTAAAGGTGCTTTGTCCAATATAGTAACTGCTTGTTTAATGGGTACAGAATTTTAGTTTTGTAAAATGAAAAGAATTCCAGAGATTGGTTGCACAACAGTGTGAATGTACTTAACACTACTGAGCTATATACTTAACTATATATTTTAACTACAAAATGTTAGTTATTATGTATATTTTTCACAATTACACAATTGTCACAATTACAGAATTGTTTTTAAGCTGCCTGAAGTAAAATTCAGGCCATGTTTTGTCAAAGTTTGAATCTTTTAGAGTGAGCTTCCTTAATTTTACATACAGTCTTTATCAGTTAATTACTCTTTGCTATTTAAACATAGTTCTAAGGTATACTATTAGGTTCTATTTTTTTAAACAATCAGCTGAAATTGTAGCTTTAAAACTGAATCAATAAAGAGATTATATATCTTTTGAGTTGTTTATTAAAATTAGACCATATAACAGAAATTCTCTTGTTGAATAGAATAGAAAACATTCCGTTAGCAATCACTGTAGCATAATTATTGCAGGTAGGTGAATGTAGTCAGCCTTCATGTATTTATTTAACATATAAGTAATAGAAAAAGAGTTTCTGGTGACATCAAAATATTCTTTTAAAAAGTATATATATATATTTATGCAAACAAGAGCTGGGGTGCAGGCCAGAGGTGCTGGGAGATGAGAATATTCATTAGAGTGGGGAGCAGAATAGGCCAATCCACTGAAATACACTGCTGAGGAAGGAGTGGGCAAGACAGAAGACACATGGTCTGCTGCACCATGTGGGTTCCCTCTCTGGCCAGGGATCAAACTCATGCTGCAGTGGCTGCAGATTGCATTGTAGTGCTGCGTAACCCCTTGTACCACTTGGGAGCCCTGACATCAGAATATTCTTTTTAGTATCTACAAACAAGAACAAAACCATTAAAGAGAACAGACTTGATTTTTTTTTTAAGTCTATAAAATATTTTTTCTAAACTTCAGCAATATAATTATTGCATATATAAATTATGTATTCTCATTTATAAAGTATTTGCTATTTGTGGCTTTAGGATTAAAATTTTGTTATAGTTGTTTCTTGTTTCTTTTCAATAGTTATTAAATGCTGTGGAGTAGAGCTCTAGTGCAATCACTAATAAGTGTTATGGAGTGAGTGGACAGATTACTATAATGGGAACAGTAAAATCACACACAAACAGCAAAGATTAACATCTTAATTTTTATAATGAGCATTAACTGTTATAGGTTAAGCACATCGCTTTATGTTTACATTATAGCTTTAGAGGCTGATGTTCTAGGAATATTATTTTGAGAGAAAAAAAATGTTTGTTTTTATTTTGTAAATAGGATGCAGGGCAGAAAAGATTTGGAGCAGTTTCCTGCAACGTTTGTGGTATGCTTTACACAGCTTCTAATCCAGAAGATGAAACACAGCATTTGCTCTTCCACAACCAGTTTATTAGTGCTGTAAAGTATGTGGTAAGTGGAATTCATGACTGTAAAATGCATAGTCAACTAATTAGGTCAGACTATGAGATGTACTGCCTAATCTAAGTCACTGAAGTTGTTTTTAAGAAATGATAATATATACAAAGCCCTTGAACTATATATGATGGCTTTTTCCAAAACAATGTCAAACAGAAAAATCTAACTAATATATTATGGCTTGGTTTATGCTGTGGGATTTTTAAAAATTACTTTAAAAATGAATGTTTCCTTTACTCCTTCTAGCAAATAATGCTACTCAACTCGAGTATTTTTAAAATTTTCTTTGATCTTAATAATTTTTAGCTTTTGATTAGCCTGTTTTACTATTCATATAGCTTGGTACAACTTTTAATTCAAAAAGATGATTTACTTTAATCTTCTCTTTGCTATCGTGAGAGTTTTAAAAGGACGAATTTGTGAAGGTTAAAGTCTCAATTTATAATATACTAAAAAGAAAAATCCCACAAAGGAAGTATGTTTAAGTATATATTTTTTAAATGCGTGCATTTGAGGCAAAATGGGTATTTAATATTTGTTTCTGAATAGAGCAAAGTTTTAAATAATTTTGACCATTTCAGATATCTTGTGATAATTTAATATAATTGCTGTTTACCCGTGTCTGAAATGGAATAAATCTATTTTTATTCTATACATGTTACCTTCAGTACTGTACACTCACATTAATAAGACCTCCAGGATATCTGAACTGAGATCACCAATTCATTTCATATAGACTTTTATAATAGCCTCTAAGTGTTCAAATTAAAAAAAAAATCTTGGCTTCAGTTCAATTCAGCCATTGGTTGAAGGGTTTTTATTCATTGTTTTCATTTATCCAGTTGTTTCCACTACAGATATGTGGGGTCTTTTTTTGCTTTGTGGTTATCTTTTATATTTCTTATTCTGTCTGCTTTTTCCATCTTTCCCTGCCACCTGCTTAACTAAGCAATAATATAATAAGGTGTGTGGGTAGAATATCTATAGCTAGATATGGATTTATCATATGAAGTTTTACTTTTCTATTTTGACTATATTACGATCCTTCGAACTTCTTACAAAAATATTTATTTTACATATGTGAATCTGGTGATTTTAATTTTAATGATTTCTGCTTGATTTACATTATTTAATTCTCACAATTACTTGATTTCTTAAAATTATTAAAGAATTAGGTTTAAAAGACTCAATTCTTCACTTTTTAGGAAACTTACTAACTTCTAAGAGTAGTAGTGAAGACTTAAAAGACATACCCTGCTCTTCATAGTACCAAAGGAAATTGGTTTATGGGGCAAGGTGAAGTCATCACCTTTTAAACAAATTCTACTCTTGCAAGTCTGTAAAGTAGTGTCACAACTTAAGGAAGATTGATTTTGGCCCTAGCAACCTCCCTACACTCACACCCCTTGATGGGACAGAGCTATGGGTTGTTTTATTTTTAAAATAAGTTCAAGAGAAGGAATTGGGTTTAGCAGTTGGCCATCTTTTGCTAACATGAAGGTCAATATTCTGTTTTCAGACATAGATATGTATAGTCTAAAATAGAAACTCCTTCAAAACATTGTAGCATTCTTTTTTAGTCTAGGAAGGAGGATGAGACCATAACTATTTTAAAGATGTTCTGCTAGAATCACAACTGGACTTTAGGTTGTGATGTTGAGCTTGTATTGTGCTTTTTATAGACATTAAGCTCTCTTAAATGGTTGTCAAAAACATCTTATCTTTTTAAATGCCTGTTTAATCTTGTGTATGTGCCTTGGAGAGATGCTCACAGAGAAGAACTCATTTAGTTCTTTGGTGTTAATGCATTGTAAAAGGACAATGTTCAGTACTAGAGATAATATTTTGTTCTACTTATTAATATAAAAATCGATTGTTAGAATATTCACCTTTTACAAGTCTAATCACATTCTTTAGAAAATAATGTAGCTTTTCCTTAGCATAAAAATTTTGCCTTAGACTTGCTAGTACTCTGTAACAATTAAAAATATATATATATACGTATATAAAAATTTGTTTTTAAAGAGATTTGTTCTTTAATATCCCTTAAAACTACCCATATTGAGATCTGGGTATGATTCAGATTTAGTTTCTACAAGAAATGACTTCTATTACTATTTTGTTTCTTTTTAAGTCTTACCAGTCATAATTCTATAATCACCTGAATTTCACTTTTTCTTTGGATGCTCTATTTTTAAATGAATTATGATTTAAAACATTTTAATCCAAATTGTTACATCTTGTTCCCAACTAAGATCTTGCCCTCCCAGAAAATTTATTCTGGAATGTTTAAGAAAATCAGCCACCTTTCATTCTTGCCATAGTATTAAAACATTTTCCTTTCCTTTTTCTTGGTTGCATTGAGCTTTCATATTCCTTAAAGAAACAGGTCTCAGAAAGAAGATGGTTTTCTCTAAAAGAAGTTCATATTGCTTTTTGAAAGCCTTTTAATGTAAAGTTGGTTGGGTAAGATAAATGGAACAACCAGTTAAGCTCATTCCTTCTGTACTTATTTTTAACTTCAAAGCTCCTAGTTTTAACCTCTGGTTCAGTCCCATCTTACTAGATTTAAGTGGCTTTTGTTTTGTTTTTTTTTCATGCAGGTTCTGCTCATTAATCACCACGAGTGTGGATCTGAAGAAGAGTTTATTACCTCTTTTTTTGAGTATGTTTAACTTCAGATACACACAACGTAGCCTCTCCTTGCCCATTAGATTCTTAGAAGGTAGTTATATTTTTATAGTCTCCTTCTTGTGACTTTGATAGTTGTGATCAATACGAATAAAGAAAATTCCTTACATATTGGGCTACTGCATGCAAATCAGTTCATTTAATACCTCCTGGAGGTCTTTGGCATGCCAGACATAAAACCATGAGTGTGTGTTTGTGGAGGTAACCATGTTCCAAAGAAATTTAAGAGATTTTTTTTTTTTTTTTAAACCAAGAAACTGGGAGAGTTATCTTTTAGGTTCTGGGAATCACTGACTAGAGGGCTTGCTTTTGATGAGTGATTTTCAAAATTAATTTAAAATGGGAAAGGATAGATTAGAAATATTCTTCTGGTATTAGATATCTGAAAGAGTGTTAGAGAGAAATTTGTATAATACCTATTTTATGCTTACCAAAATAGCTGATTTATCATGTCTTACTTAGCCTTTTTCTGTTTATTTTTCTTCTTGTACATGAATATGATGAAATGAACTAAGACACATAAAATTATTCCTTTATTTTTGTACCTAGGGCTGGAAAAAAGAAAGAATTTTGGCTGAATATCCTGATGGCAGGATTATAATGGTTCTTCCTGAAGACCCAAAGTATGCCCTGAAAAAGGTAAATTTCCAGTGAAATTTCATAATAGGATGGATAATATAAATTTGTAGCTAATCTAAGCAGGGTAAACACATTGCTGGCATACCATGTTTAAACACCAGTTCTGAAAATAAGAATTGAAAGAATACAACCCAACAGAAAAACCATGTTTAAACTTGCAGTGTCTGTTAGGATAGCACATAGCATATGCTAAATGATTTCTTAGTGAATTGATCACTATCCATTATTATCAATAATTTGAGGCATAGAAGGCATGCAGGTAATGAATAATGTCATGTAGTTTCAAAATTAATATTTAAATCATGAAAATATAGACAATGTAAACTAGACAATGTAAAGTTTCAATCTGAGTACATTTCTAAATCATAGCTTACTTAGAAGGGAATCTTGTAGTAGGACATTGTAATCTTGATTAAACATTACCTAGTAATATACTATTAATGGGGGGGGAAGGTATATTTTGATTTATTAATATAATGTAGAAAATTTTAAATCATCTTATTTACATAAACCAGATTTCAGTCCAACTTAAGAATTTTATTCCTGGAGATGTCAGAAAAATGAACCAAAGATAGTAAAGTCTGTAACCATTTTATAGAGTATCTTAAAAGTCTAACCACAGGAGTACATATTTTAAAATGGTGTTAATTACATTTTCCAGTGGTACATTTTCTTCAACCCCCAGATGCTCTTTTAGCCAAATGGGTTAAATAGTTATTTGAAAAGATTAAACTATACAGTACTCAAGTGTGTCCAAAATATCTAGGAACAGGAAAAGTTATTTACTTCATTATTTGAAAATACATATAATATTCTTTGTAAAATAGAGGTTTGTCCTGTACTTTTCATACATATCCTGTATACATAACGGACAATCCCAAAAACCCAAGCATGCTCCCATACATACTACGACTGCCTGATAGTATAGACAAAATCTAGAATGACAAACATGTCACCTACCTTGTGTTTGAAATAATGATCCTTGGGCAAAAACAAATCCTTGCTCAATTAATTTTGGATAGTAATTGACTAAATGAAAATGAAATTACAGAAATTTTGGTATTTCATTATCATCAGGAAATGCCCAGTGGAAACTTTGCTACATCACCACCACTTTTCTTTCTAAAAATCCTCAGTAAATGCTACTTATTTTAGCTTCTCTGGGCAGAATCTTAGTAACCTACTATTTTGTATGTTACCAGCTCGTAACCAAATAATAAGTTAAAAATTGAAATATAGGATATATTGTCATCTGCCTAGGAATCTAAATTGGAAAAGTTTATTGTGAGATGCTGTTCCAGGATTAGGAGCATTTAAGTTTTCATACTGAATAAGGGATGGATTACTTGGCATCCTTGTTGTCAGAGATATGAATACTTAACCTTTTAAGGGATTATTTGCATTTGAAACGTGGTGATACAAATGAATGTTTATTGTACTGAATATTTGTTTATTGCACTTGAATAACTTACATGTTATTTTCTGGGAGAGAAATTATGTTTGAATGTCTACAAAAGTTGGAGCTTACATTTGATCTTGACCACAGCTCTAGAAGGTAAACTGGAAAGACTAGAGTTTGATGCCATATTTACATTAGGTCTCTTATTATATTATTTTTGTAGATCTTCAATGTCTGACATGGAAAAATTACTTAACTTTTGAATTTTATTTCTTATATGTTAATAGACCTCCAACAGATGTTGGATTAAATTAGATAATTCTCACAAAGTGGATATTGACAAAACTATAAGTGGTTTCTTTTCTTTTTACTCTTTCCATTTTACTGATGAGACTGCTAATTAAGACTTGGGAAGAAAAGTATCTTGTCCAGCTAAAATTTTAGTGAAATTCTCTCCAATTCTTATTACCTGTTTTAGGAGCTCTCCCTCCTTTTGGTCCCTCATCTGCTGTATTTAACATTATTGTCCAGTTCCCTCGTTTTGCAGATTGGTTGACAGGGCTTGAAAGACAGTCATTCAGAAAGGCTCTTTCAAGAATATCCTGCTTGAAATAATATACTCAACTTACTGAACACACACACACACACGCAAATACACACAGTGTTTTTAAAATGTTAAAAGAATATTGTTCTTTATTTGGCAGGTTGATGAAATTAGAGAGATGGTTGATAATGATTTAGGTTTCCAGCAGGCTCCACTAATGTGCTATTCGAGAACTAAAACACTTCTCTTTATTTCTAACGACAAAAAAGTAGTTGGCTGCCTAATTGCGGAACATATCCAGTGGGTAAGTGGTTTCTAAAGAGTGTTCATATGCAGTTTAGTATTTAAAGATTACCTTGTAATCTTGGTTTTATTTATCAGATGTTTTATGTAAGGAAGGGTGTGAATGTAAGAATTCTCACGTGCCAGTTATATTTTGCTTTGAAATGAGTTTCCCAAGTTAGTATGTAAGATAAGAATTCTGTAAATCAAAAGTAATGTTAAATTTTGTTTACTATTTTCACATCAGATACTAATACAATTAGTTGCTTCAACAATGGAATAAATCAAGGGTTGGCAAACCACCCAGAAGTAAAAATCTAGTCTGTTTTATAAATAGTTTTAGTATAATACTTCCATGCACACTTACTTACATATTATTTATGGCTGCATTTGTATATGCCCCAAAAAAAACCTGAGTTGAGTGGTTGCTACAGAGGCCAGGTACACTGCAAAAAATATTTAAAAGTTGGCCCTTTTCTAAAAAGTTGCCTACCCCTAGAAAAGATCACTACCTCTTTCGTTGAGGTCTGGATGAAGAATTAAGAAAGTTATTTAGTAACTTTAAGAAAACAGTGGGAATTGTTCTAGACTCCCCTAATTATAGTCATTTTGCATTCTCTATTTTCATCTGAATTCTTGCTCATAAGCACAGTGCACATTGGGTTTGACCTCTGCAGATGTTCACCATAAAATGTTCTATCTTAAAGGAGAAAGTCAGGATAAATTAATTTCTATGTATATAGCCACAACTTAAAAATACTCACTTAGAAATGGTAGTTTTATACAAAATTAACAGGCAACCATAAATCAGAGACATTCTACAGGAGAGGGAGAGAGAGGGATCAAAGGGGAGGGAAGAACACAAAGGACTATGATGGTGCACGGGTGAATTGGTGGTGGGGATTTTACGGGGGCTACCCCTGAGAGGACAAAGTAAATATTGTATGAAAAGGAAGAATGATGTAAAATATATATAAATTTTTTTAAAAAATTGTAGTTTTTGAGTCTATTTATAATAAAAGCAATATAATAGCTGATAAAGGTAGTTTGGGAATTTAAACTTGATCTAAAATGACTAATTTATAGCCATTTGCCATACTGAAATTAAGTTAATTTAAAATAGTACAACCCTCGCATTTTTTAAATTGCTCTTCTACCTAGTTCCAAAAGTGACTTGAATACATGTTTAGACTAGAAGATAGAAGTGTAATGTTTGCTTTTTTGTTAACTCTTAATTGTGTTGTCTTAAAGTTTTGAGGCACTTACCATCAGAAGCCTGACCATTTTTGGCAACTAGGCTGGCAGAGGAGATACATGTTTTATAAAATACCTTATTTTTTTTTTTTAAAGATTTATTTATTTATTCATACAGAACTGGGGTACAGGCCAGAGATGCGGAGGGTGAGAGGATTCACCAGGGACAGAGTGGGGAGCAGAACAGGCAGATGAACGAAGTACACTGCTGAGGGGAGCAGCGGGCGGGTCAGGAGAGGTCTGCCACACCATGTGGATCTCCTCCGGGGCAGGCGGGGATCGAACTCATGAGGAAGTGGCTTAAGCTTCTTAGTGCTGTGCTTTAACCCACTGCGCCACCAGGGAGGGCCCAAAATACCTTATTTTTTAAAAAGAGATAGGAATGGGGCCCTCCCTGGTGGCGCAGCGGGTTAAAGCACAGCACTGAGAATCTAAAGCCACTTCCGCATGAGTTCGATTCCCGCCTGCCCCGGAGGCGACCACATGGCGCGGCAGACCTCTCCTGACCCACCTGCTGCTCCCCTCAGCAGTGTACTTCGCCAATCTGCCTGTTCTGCTCCCCACTCTGTCTCTGGTGAAGCCTCTCGCCGCCCCTGAGCTTCTGGCCTGTACCCCAGTTCTGTATGCACAAATAAATAAATCTTTAAAAAAAAAAAAAAAAAGAGAGATAGGAATGTGGAGGATGTAATTTCATGTCATTTGTGTTCCTAGTTCCTACACAGTTGTGAGCCCTAGAACTATGCTACCTATCACAGAAACAGTTACGATTGCTGGTTCTTGACTTGAACTTTTGCTGGGACTTAGAATGTGGGAGGTAAAGAAAACATTCACTTATGGGTCAGCCATGATGGCAGAGTGTTTTGTATCTGTTATCTTGTTTAATCTCTTAATGAATCTGTGAAAGAAATGATTAATATTCCCATTTATTGATAGGAAACCCCAAACTTTTAAAATTTAATTAATAAATTTATTTTTAATTGAGGTACTGTATAGGTTCCCTTATTGGGTATTGTTAGAGTAATGCACCCATCACCAAATCACCTGTAGTCCGCCACCATAATCCTTTGTGTTTCCTTCCCTCTGTGTTGTCACCCTTCACACCTTTCCCCCTCTGGATGCCTCAGTTCTACAGTAAACTCTCAAGGGTTTATTTTAAAGCTGGTTTTTATCTCACTGGTGGTTTAATTAATCTGTTAGTCTGACTCATCTCTGTATTCCACACATTAGTGAAACCATCACACCATTCAGTGTATTTCTCTTTCTTCTGATTTAATTGCTGAGTAGTATTCTGTGTGTGTGTGTGTATGTGTACCCCACTTCTTCTTGATCCACTCATTTATTTTGGGGTACTTAGGTTTTTTCCATAATTCAGCCATAGTAAGTAATGCTGCAGTGACTGGGAGCGGTAGTTTCCACTAGAATTAGTGCATTTGAATATTTGGGGTATATGCTGAATAGTGGAATTACTGAGTTGAATGGCAGATCCATTTTTAATGTTTTAAGACACCTCCATGCTTATTGCCAGAAGGGCTGGACCAGTGCACATTCCCACCAGCAGTATATAGGGGAGCAACCCTAAAACTTAATTAACTTCTGCTTCTAGACACATAACTAAAAAGACTGGCGTGTGTATCTTGTCTGTTTTCTAAAATGAGGGTGAAAGCATAAAGGTCCATATACTTTGTCAAGAAGCCAAGTGAATGGATTGACCTTCTCACAAAGGTCAGAAATAGACGATTGCTATTAAATATTCTCACTTTGAAATCTTCTAATCCTCTGGATTTTGATACTATAGGGCTACAGAGTTATAGAAGAGAAACTTCCAGTTATCAGGTCAGAAGAAGAAAAAGTCAGATTTGAAAGGCAAAAGGCCTGGTGCTGCTCAACATCGCCAGAACCTGCGATCTGTGGGATCAGCCGAATATGGGTATTCAGCATGATGCGTCGGAAGAAAATTGCTTCTCGTATGATTGAATGCCTAAGGTACCTTGGGTGTCATTCTTTACATCATTTCCAATAGTTTTGAATTGAGTTGAGAATAAATGCTAGTATTTAATTCATCTTACTGTGTAATCTTTATATTAAATTGTGCTTGAGATTGTCACTATATTGAACTTTAATTACTCTTAGTATGAAGCTAATCTGAGTGGAAGAAAGTACTACTGGGCAAATATTATTAAGCCATGTTAACTCAGCTGTAACTATAATAGACGAAAGTAATCCACTAATTTCAAATTTTGTTCAATATTGGAGGATTTAAAGCTAACCAAAAAATGTGGGAAGTTTTTTGAAAATCTAGCTTCTAGTCAAATTTTTCTTAAAAGAGTATTATTTTTAAACTTTCTCTAATTTCTCTTGCTTTTATTGCTTGATTTTTATTCAGAGCTACAGAGAAGACCTGACAAATTGCTTAATTTAGTTTTTGCTCTATTAAGGACTAGTGGAGGAGGTAAAAATTAATTATGCAAAGGAGGTTTTTAAATCAACTGCATTTATTGATAGAATTCCTGAATACTTATTCTCTGTAGGTGCAGTTTTCAGTATAACCCCTCATCCCAGGGGCTCTGAAGGCACTAGTACTGCATGTGTTTCTGGTGTTTTCTGTGCTAGTAAGATTACTGTGTAAGCTTCCTGTTGAGACATAGTTTCTACCTTTTCTTCTAATATTCTTCTTAAGTCCTCAGTTTACATTAAGATTACAATATGAAAATTTTAGTGGTCTCTTATCTTGATTAAAGTAAAAGATTTTAGGCCCTCCCTATTGGCTAACTGGGTTAAAGGCAGCTTTATGAAGCTCTCTGCAGCCACTGCAACATGAGTTTGATCCCCGGCCAGGGAGCTGCCCACATGGCACGTGGATCTGTCCCACCTGCCGCTCCCTGAGCAGTGTCCTTCATCGATCTGCCTGTTCTGCAACTTGCTCTGCCTCTGGTGAATCCTCTCATCCCTTGTACCTCTAGCCTGTATCCCCGTTCTTGTCTGCATAAATAAATCAATCTTTAAAGAAATTAACAAATTTTAAATAGTGACTTCTTTGAGATGTAATTACACAGCATAAAATTTATCCATTTAGAGTGCTAATTCAGTGAATTCGAGTATATTTAGAAGAATATACCACTGTCTAATTTTAATGTCTTTCCATCATTCTTAAAAAAAGAAACCATATTCATTCATAACTCATTAGCAGCTACTCTCTGTTCCTCTTCCATGGATTCTAGCAACCACTAATGTACTTTACACCTTAATGGATTTATCTGTTCTAAATATATAAATGTATTTCTAGTTATATGACCTAGTTACTGGTTTCTTTCACTTAGGTGTTTGAAGAATCATCCGTGTTGTACCACCTAACAGTGTGCTTCACGAACCCTTTTTGTCAAATATTCCAGTATATTCATATTTATCATTTTATTTTTCCATTTATCAGTTGATAAATATTTGAGAATGTTTCTCATTTTTTGGCTATTAGGAATAAGACTGAAATTCATGTACAGATTTTTGTATTTATTCTTCTGGGTACTTAGAGAAGTACTTACATGTTTGTATTTCTCTTGGTACATATGTAGCAATAGAATTGTTGGGCTATATGATAACAGTATATATAACATTTTGAGGAACTACCCAACTTTTTCTTTTTTACCTGAGGCCCAAATCTGCCGAGCCCATGTGCCCTCCTCCTTGCTATCCACTCACCTTGGCCCTGTGGGTTCTTTTTTCTCAAACCCTTTTCTTTTTTCTTTCTTTTTTTTTAAACTATATTTGTTTATTTTTGCATACTTTTGTATATTTTTCCATCTCAGTAGCAATCTTTTTTTTTTTTTAAAGCTTTATTTATGCTTACAGAACTGGGGTACAGGCCAGATGCGTGGAGGGGTGAGAAGGTTCACCAGAGAGAATGGGGAGTAGAACAGACAGATCAGCTGAATATACTGTTGAGGGGAACAGCAGGCAGGTCAGGAGAAATCTGCCATGCTGTGTGGGTCACCTCCCTGGCCAGGGATCAAACTCGTGCTGCAGTGGCTTCAGAGAGTTTCATGGTGCAGTACTTTAAACTGTTGTGCCACCAAGGAAAGCCCCGGAAACTTTTTCTAAAGTGGCTGTACTGCTTTACAATCTCATGAGCAATGTATGGGGGAGGTTCCATTTGCCTCATCAATATTTGTTACTGTTTTTAATTTTAGCCATCCTAGTGAATGTAAAGTGGTATCTCATTGTGGGTTTTATGTATACTTCTGTCATGGCAAATAGTTGAACATCTTTTCATGTGCTGACTGATTACTTATGTCTTTAAAGAAATGCCTATTCACACCCTTTGCCTATTTTTTTAACATCATCTTTGCCCATTTTTATATATATTTTATTTTTAAAAAATTTATTTATGCATACAGAACTGGGGTATGGGTTAGAGGTGCAAGGGCGGTGAGAGGATTCACCAGAGACAGAGTGGGGAGAAGAACAGGCCGATTGACTAAGTACACTGCTGAGAGGAGGAGTGGGCGGGTCAGGAGAGGTCTGCTGTGCCACGTGGGTCACCTCTCTGGCAGGTAATCAAACTTATGCTGAAGTGGCTTTGGTTTCTTAGTGCTGTACTTTAACCTGCTGTGTCACCAGGGAGGGCCCAATCTTTGGCCCTTTTGTTTATTTTTTTTTTCAATCTTTATATTTTCTTTTTTTTAATTATATTTTTATTTATTTTGTTTACATCATTCTTCATTTTGTGCATTTTTCCATCTCAGTTATAATCCTTGTGGCATCCCACTACCAATTCACCCATGTACTATCATCACAGTCCAGTGCTTTGCCCGTTTTTAATTTTGTTTGTTTTCTCTTATTGAGTTGTGGTGGTTCTTTTTCCATTCACTCATTGATGGATATAAAGAAAATATTTGTATATATGTATATGTACAGTGGAGTATTTATTCAGCAATAGGAAATAATGAAACCTTGTCATTTGCCACAGTATAACAGGACCTTGAGGGTATTATGCAAAGTAATGTAAATGATGAAGAGATAAGAAATACTGTATAATCTCATATGTGGAATAGTTTTTAAAAAACCAAGTTCGGCCCTCCCTGGTGGCGCAGCAGGTCAAAGCACAGCACTAAGAAACTAAAGCCACTTCAGCATGAGTTCGATTCCTGCCTCGGGAGGCAACCACATGGCGCGGCAGACCTCTCCTGACCCTCCCACTGCTCCCCTCAGCAGTGTACTTCGCCAATCTGCGTGTTCTGCTCCCCACCCTGTCTCTGGTGAATCTTCTCACCGCCCCTGCCTCTCTGGCATGTATCCCAGTTCTGTATGCGTAATAAATAAATCTTTAAACAAAAAAAAACAAGTTTAGAGATACAGAAAATAGATTAGTGGTCACTAGAGACAATAGTTGAAAAGGTAGCTAAAGGATAAAAGGAGTTAATAGATACAACCTTCAGTTATCAGTAAGTTAGAGGAATGTCATGTGCAAAATGGCAACTGTAGTTAATAATACAGTATTGCATATTTGAAAATTTGTAAAAGGTCTTAAAAGTTCCCATCTTTCACAAGAAAATCTTTTACATGTGTATGTTATGAGATAAAGTCTAATTTCACAGTATATGTAAATATTAGCCATCGTGTACATCTTTAAATAATGATTTATGTCAGTTGTACTGTTTAAAAGCAATTGTGGGAGTATAATATACAAGAAAGAAAAAGTTCATGCATTATAGAGATAAATCCTTAACAGATGCAAATATATTATCTGCAAATATTTTTCATGTTACGGTTGTCTTTCTAAGATTTATTTATTTGTGCATATAAGAGTTGGGGTGTAAGCCAGAGGTGTGGACATTGGGGGGTAGTAATGAGAGGATTCACCAGGGACAGAGTGGGGAACAGAACAGGTGGATCTACTGAAATACACTGCTGAGGGGAGCAGCTGGTGAGGCAGGAGAGGTCTGCTGTGCTGTGTATCTCTCAGGCTGGGGATCAAACTCATGCTGCAGTGACTGGTAGTAGCTTGATAGTGCTGAAACTTTAACCCCTGCACCACACAGGAGGCCCCCAAAAGTTTAAAATTTAAACTCCATATTATAAAACCTTTCCCTTTGTCATTTGTGTTTTGGTGTTGTATTTAAGAAACCATTTCTGAATCTTAAGACCACAAAGATTTGTGCCTGTATTTTGTTCTGTGTGTAGCTTTTATACTTAGGTCTTTGATTCATTTTAAGTTTTGTGTTGGATGTGTTTTGCATGTACATCTCCAGTTACTTAAAAAGGCTACTCGAAATCTCCTACTAAATATTCTCTCAACTACCCTTGTCAAAATCATTGACATGTGAACAGGGTTTATATATTTCATTGGTCTAATATTATGCCATTTGCATACTGCCTTGAATGTTGTAGCTTTACTACTTTTCTTCCAGTATGGTTGATTTACCTTTTCCTTGTCTAATTGCCATGACTGGAGCCTACAGTACATTATTGAGTAGAAGAGGTACTAGCAGAAATAGCCTTGTTTCTGTCATATCGGGAGTCAGTTTTTAGTCTTTCACCATTCATGTTGAGATTAAGTTGAGAAAGTTGCTTCTACTCAGAATACAGTATTTTTATCATGAAAAGGTAATAGATAAATGTTTTTAAAACCACTGTTGTTCTTTACAATACTTTTTGATTAAACTATTGGTACTATTGTATTTTAGATGTATAATTATTTTCAACAATCTGTAGAATAATGCAGCATTACATTCAAGTCTTTCTAGTCAAATTGTATTTTACAGAATTTTCCAGTTTTAATGATGAACATTTTCTTTTCTCCCTCTGCCCCTTTTTTTTTAAATAGGAGTAATTTTATATATGGCTCATATTTGAGTAAAGAAGAAATTGCTTTCTCAGATCCCACTCCTGATGGAAAACTGTTTGCAACACAGTACTGTGGCACTGGTCAGTTTCTGGTATATAATTTTATTAATGGACAAAATAGTACCTAAAACAAATTCTTGCTACAGTACTAGAAGACATCTACTGAAGAGAAATGGATTGGTTGCTGACTTTAACCAGGAACTAGGGCCATTTTTATTACAATGAACTCAGGACTGGCAACAGCCAAAAGGTTGTTCCACTTTCATAAAATTGGAAACAATGCAGTAATAGCTTATTATTGTTTTGTTTTTTAAAGAAGATATTTTATTATCTTTTACAGAAATTTATGATTGATGTATTTTATCTATAGTTATTTAGACATGTTTACATGCAGCAGATAATTGTTCATAGTGGACTGAAAACTAATGCAAGGACTATGGTCTCAGTGATAAGTACATTTTGAAGTTCTTAATATGGAAATATACCAGTGTAGCTTGGTACTGTATTTTTTATATTGATCTGCTGATACCAGTTACAGTTTTAAAGGTTGTATTTTCACGGAGCAGAAACCCGTGAGTTACTGTTCAAGGAGGGTACAGCCTTACATATATAAAAATATGAAGCTAACTCTTAAAGGGCCTGAAGTTTACTAGGACGGCATTCCTTTAAAATTTCAAAGGGTTAAGTAGGAAAAAGCAGGAAGAATTTATAATATTGAGATTTTTGTTTTTTATCCAAAAGGGCAGGTTTACTGCAAAAAGGGAGAGAGGAGTAAAGAACGGTTGCACAAACAAAAGTGGACAGAAACCCCTGGAAGGGGTAGTTTGCTAAAAGGGGCTTGCACTGCCAGGAACTGCAGCCCTGGGAGGAGAGCACCCCTGCTGCCCTGCAGAGGGAGGAGGTTGGCAAAAAGAGACACCTCACAGTAGCAGGCAGGCAGTTGTTCGTTCTCCTTTTTAATATTGAGCCTTTTCTTCCATTTCTTTCTTTTATGTTTTTTAAGGTAGTAAGAAGTGGAAGCGGTAAAGAATTGAGGCTTTCCTTGTTGGAAAGTGATAAATGACTAGAATGAGGATGACACCCTTTGTAGTTTACCATTCTGTTTTCTGTTTTTTTCTTTTAATAAATACCATCTTTGACATGCATTGACTGTTAACAAAACCCCAAGAGGTTTATAAAACCCTATGGATAGTCACAAGCTAAATGTAGATGATTTGGTATCTGCTTTGTTATTCCTCAGAAATACTACACTGAGTATATGTCCTCATTACTGGACTTCATTTTGATACTTGTCTATCCTTCATAGTGCCCTCTACTTTTAAAGGGTTTATATGTTGAAAAACTGCTGTGGCCTTTTTGACTGTAAATAATGTAGAATAAAATAATAAAATACTTGATAGCTTTTTTAAGTGATAAATGTGACAATGGTGTGTTGTCATTTGTGCTTTTTCAGGGTGTTTCTTAGGTTTGACACCTGGAAATTTAACACTGCATCTTAAGAGGTTATAGTCACCAGTTTTTCAAAGGATCTGAATGTTAGCAATCACTGCTTTAAACTGTGTCTTCAAAAGGCTAAAATCCTAACTTGAGAATTCTCTAGTTGTTCAAAGAAATAAAGAGCCAGAACCCAAGATTGAAATACTACTGTGGCTTAATGATTAATTTTGCAAGCTTAAATTATATCTCCATTAAAAATTGACTGAAATTTAGGACTTCAAGATGAACAAGTATACATTTTATCCCCTTCTGAAAAAAGGTATGCTTTTTAAATTTATAGAGTAGTATAAGGTTCTGTAGGTTTTATATGGGTGAGATGGTCAGACATTGAATATTTCATGATTGTGTGGCTTTTGATACTTTTTCTTTCCTTTTGGACTTGAGACTTATTTGTCTAGTTACTCTTGGTTGTATTGCTTGCCTGAAGAAGTATGAACTAAGGGAATTTATAAAATTAGTTATTTGAAGGTTTTGAAGAGATCACCATCCTGAGATTTGTGAAATTAGGGGCTATAAGAGAATTGTAATAAGTACCACTGTTTAATAAGAGTCTCACAGTATGTAAGAAGACGTACAAGGTAAGAGGACGGGAGCGGTAGAAAGTATAGGGCAGAGTTTTAAGAATCAGTGAATGGTCAACACTGATACAACATAGTTGAAGACAAAAGAAATTCCAAGTGATGGTAGAAAAAGAATTGCAGTCCCTACAGAGTGGTCAAGGCAGTCAGGGATCCAATGAATATACACTGATAACCACAGTCAAAAGAATTGCTCTATATTATTTTTGGTCAGCTGCCCTTGAATAACTGTTTAAGACCATTGTAAAAATATACATACACATCTTAAGATTCACACTTACAGACAGGAACCATGTGGTTTTTTATCAGTTGTAGGCCTCTATGGACACACAAGGGTTTACTTCGCAAGAATTAAAAATCAGTATTTCTTCAGGTCATAATATGCAAGAGTGAATTTGGTATATCTACTATAAGCCAAAGTGGCAGAAGAACAGTAAGTATAATAAACATGTTCTTGCTTGCTTTGCATGGTTGCCTAGATAGGTATCTGGATAAAAACACAGCTATATTCTTGTGTGACATTATTTTGCCAGGGGCTAAGATTCCTGCATTCATGTCTGGGGTATTGACCATAGATACACATTACCTACCTATTCTCATGGCCTACTTGCACATAAGGGAAGGTTCTGTCTGAGAACAATCCTCTTACACCCTTCTAGTTAAAATTAAAATGCATTGAACTACTTATAGAATGAAGAGGAGGTCAGAAAACAACTTTTGTTGCTTTTTCTTACAACTTATTTCATCTGCTGTCATAGTCATTGACGTAGGTGCTTTTCTTAGGGTCAGTACTTGACAGTTAAAAGAACAGGTACTTTGTTAAATAAATGTTCTGAAATCTTTAGTGATTTTTTTTTCCTGTGAAGCTAGGGTTTTGATATTATAGCCAATATTCTGTGAGGCAAAGTTGTTCATCTTAGGAAACCAACGTGAGTATAGTTGCCAATGATAAAAGATAAAAAGGGTATACTATATTTCTAACATCTCCCTAATAATTTTTAGATCTGTCATCCTTAATTATGTGATTGTAAATAAGCATGGTTGTAGAGGCTTTAATATATGTGTGTGTTTGTGTGTATGTACATGTATCTGCTTTATGTATGTATATGCCACCGATTTTCATTCATCAAGTAATTGGCACTTTCTTGGTCTACTAGGCCAAAATAGTAGAAGCTTTGTCATTCAATTTATGATGCTTGGGTTTCTGACTGTGCTTAGACATTGCCAGAGTTATTAGAAAGCTCATTCCAGTTTTTGAAAATGCCAGGAAATTCATTTAAAGAAAACAAGCTTTGGAGGGGAGAGAAAATTTTAATATATTCACCAAATTAAACAATAGGACAAGAACATAGTGTTGACACAACTTAAGACATTTTAGAATCATAAACAAAATGTGAGGTAGACTGACTAGTGAAATTCACCAAATTTTGGTTAAGAAAATTTTACAGTAATAAAGTAACATCGGTGCCCCATTTTCTAAAAATCACAGAAAGCAATTGCATAAATTACAGCCAAAAAATGAATACAATGATTCTCATTCTAATTTTAGTTTACATTCAGTATTAACCTGTCTGAACTGTCATACATGGCAAGTTTCAACAGGTCTATAGGTCAATTATGCAGGCCTAGCGAACACAGTCATACCACAATATTAAAGAGATGGCAAGGCTTGAAGCTGAACACCCCAAGGTATGTATTAACAAATTGTGGTGTTCTGTGCTTGTGCAATTTTATCCTAAAGGAGTAGGACCTAAATTCTCTAAAGAATTACACTGATAAGGTGATTTTAAAACATAGAAACCTGGTAAGACATTAGACTAAGAGGTCAATTTGAATTTTCCATCATTGGGTTGATGATCTTTTGGCTTTATTCTGGCAGTTCTCTTCCACAGAGTTAATAGTGTATAAGAAATCATCATCAATTCAGTTTTCCGAGTAAAGCTCTAGAATACCTGTATTTAAAGTAAACGCTAAAAAGTTTTTCCTTAGAGCACAAAGCCGTAAAGCCAGAAGAAACCCTGAGAGGTCATCTGCCCAGATATACGTTTGGAATTATTTCAAGTATTTTTTTTGCCCTATACAGTAATTATCATTGGAATATTGCACAAACATGGGTTTCTTATTACCATCTGTATTAGGCCCTTTCAGCAAAACAGGAACAATTGAAATACATTCATATCTAAATCAACCTGCTTCGAACGTACCTCTTTGCCAAAAGTTGTGCTGTACTTACTGTGAGTATTTTTAAAGCATATATATAAGGCAGATTCTCTTTGAAGGACAATTAAAAACAGGGTTGAAAGGAATTTACTCATTTCAGAATACATTTAAACCAGCATAAGTAATTATATTAAAACCAAGAGAGTTGCAAACCATTTTCAGATTAGTACATTTCATCTTTACTAGCTGTAAACTCGTTATCACAAGTCAATAGAGCTGGTCCATTAATATTTTGTTGTAAGTAAATGCAGGTTTAGTAGGCCTCTCTGTAGTGTCAGGCCACAAATAAGACATTGATTCAAGTTTAAAAAGCCATTTTAAGGAGGAGAGGAGTAAAGTGGTATGTTTAGCTAATAAGAAAAATGTTAGTGTTGTTTCATGATGAGAATTGAAGCAGTTTAAGAGTAAACTTCCCAAACAGACTTAAATTCATTACAGAACATTTTCTAGAAAGCTATACAAGTTTATGCCTTCTACAGTTGATGAAGACACAACCCCTGCTGATTATTAATGAGGCGAAAGGACTTTCAGTGGATTCTTCTCTCATAAAAGAATTCACTGGTAAGATTATGTAAAACACAGTTCTTTTCTTTCTGTGGCTCCTTTTCCCATCCCAGCAATTTCTATGTTGTCAGTACAAAGCAACTAATACTCATCCAGTGTATCTTTTAAAGGAGCTTTGATTGCATCCCTGAAAGGAAATAAACTAATTCCAGTCCCATTCCAACCCACAGGGAACCTTAGCCTGACATTCACTTTGCTGGTGCCGACTAACTCATTTCAACCAAATAGGGCAGGTGTGGGGTGACTGTGGAAAGCTTCTTAGTATTGGCTCAACTGTGAGTCAGGTTCTCCTTGTACAAGGTTAATCACAGTTCCATATTCTCATAGTTGTGGTATGCTTAAAGACTGCAAAATTTTTATAGAAAAAGCAAAGGAATTTAAGCAAGGAGAAGCTGCACACACGCCTGCTCTGTATTTACTGACTTTTTTTGTTCAGTTTAAATAGTAAACTTTTAACTCCTGTGGAAATTTTGCCAACAATTTCAATACATATAAGATTATAAATCTTAAGCTAACACTGCACAGAGAAAGACAAAGCTACTTTTTTTTTTTTAAATACAAATATCTTCTACATTCTATCATTTCAGACCCCTGAGTAAAATACTGTACCAAAGTACAGCTCTGAAGAGAAACTGAGGGTTCAGGCCTCAAACGTTAATCTTCAATTAATTCCACACCGAAGGTGTGAGTCTCATGTAACACATTCAGGCTAGCTAAAGCTGAGAGTCAATTTTCCTCTTAACAGAATTGTAGGAAAAAACCCACAAAATTCGTTCATGTTTGTTCTCCAAAGTATGTCCTCAGGCTCCCGTGGGCAGGCCATGTCTTAAGGAATTGCATAACTGCCTACGGTGGAGTTAACCTGGATTTGTGGTCCTGAAATTAGAACTGAAGGAGAGTGCAGCCCCCAAAAAACCTGGGTCAGATTTTGGGGGGAGGGGCGGGCGGGGGTTTCTTTGGAGAATAGACAAATACGTTGCACTTTGCTCCACAGTGATTGTACATTAAAGGAAAAAATAATTCCAAATAATTTGTTTCTGCCCCACCCCACCCCAAGGCATCCTTTTACTACTTTCTGTCTCTCAAAAGCTCACACATGACGGCCAGTGAGGAAGTAGAGGGGCTTGTCATCACTGCTGTTAGCAGTTTGAAACTCATCCCGAAGGCGGAATTGCCATTCATCCTCTAGTTCTAAGCGGACAATTGTTTGGCGTAAGGAGCTTCTGTCTTGGCAGATGACACACAGGGTAGCACCTTCAGAAGAAAGAGTGTACCTTAGGCTCAGGAGTTGACATGATAAAGAACATTAGACCTCTCTGATATGTTCTAAACTAACACAGCTGAGAACGAACATCAGAATTATTAAAAAAAAAAAAAAAAGTACAAGTTCAAAAGTTTAGAAGAGTGTGAAGTGAAAATGCTCCCAACCATATCTTGTGGTAACCCGGCATTAAAACCAATGTTACGGTATTTCTCATGTTACACATAGGCCTCTAGGGCAGGGTTTGTCGGTCTCAGTACTTAGAGGCTGTTCTGTTCATGTAG